GCCGTCGAGTTGATTCCGACTCATAGCGGCCTTATAGGACAGAGTAGAACTGCCCCATAGGGTTTCCAAGAAGACTGATTTTTCAATATTTGAAGCAGGCTCATCTGTCCAACTAAAAGGACACCACCAGGCTGGATGCTTCTTGGGGACAGACACCGTGAGCATCCTATTTGCTGCTGGGCATAGTCCCAGGCATTGAGTAGGCATTGTCCCTAGAGAGCACCGCTTGACAATGCCTTTGGCATGATCAACCCAACACTTCCAGATCTGGCCCCATCTTATCTTCCGGACTCATTTACAGCCACTGTCCCTTCTCCCACCACTTCCTCTGGCCATGCAGAAGGACTTGGAATTCTCTAAATGTTCTCTGCCCTTTCTTGCCTCTGTGCTTTTATGCATGCTATTGTCTCTACTGTCTTCTCCTTGACTGCCAAATAAACAACTACTCATTCTTCAGGACTCAATCCAAATGATCCTTCTTTGAGATGCCTTCCTTCACCTTTCTGGGTCTGTAACCCCCAGGGCCTTGCTCCTAACTGACCATACCACTTACTACATTACTCATTGGTTGCAGAGTTATCTGGCAACTGGCCTGGGAGCTTCCTGAGTTCGTATTTGGAGTTCTTGTTACCCATTCTTTCTTGAGTCTTCTGGCACTTTAGCACAAGAGTTGACCTGCAGTGGGGGCTCAAAGAATATTTTTAAAATGAATAAGTGGAATTGCGAAGGAGGCCAAGCTTATCTTTAGAATCCTTCCCGCTCCCTGCTGCGGTCCCCTTTCCTCCGTTTTTGGCAACCCTAGGCATATCCTCATGCTGCCCATTGTAGAAATCCACTGGGATCTACCATTATTGGCAATAGCCCAGGCTTGAAACTTAGGAACCCCTAGGTGGCTCAATTGGTCAAGCGCTCAGTGGTTCAAATCCACCCAGAGACTCCTTGGAAGAAAGCCCTGGGAGTCTGCCTCTGGGGTTGCCATGAGTTAGAACTAAATGGCAACTGGTTTCTTTTATCTTCTTTTTTCTTTTTTAATCCAACCAAAGCTTACCAGTCCTGTGTCCTATACCACCAGGGCTAGATTTTCAGATAAACCAGAGGTTGTCAGACTTTAGCATGCATCAGAATCTTCTAGAAGGCTTGTTAAAGGATTGTTGGGGTGCAGTCTTAGAAGTTCTGATTTAGTAGATCTAGGATGGGGTCTGAGAAATCACATTTCTAATGACTTCCCAGGTGATGGTGCTGCTACTGGACAAAAGAGCACATTTTGAGAACCACTGGAATAAAATAATGTAAAACCAGAGGAATCCTTAGTTCATCTTAACCTAGCACCTTAACTGAGCTTCTGATTGCATTGGCACTGTCTGGATTCAGTCAATCCCAGATCATTTTCTTTCTGCTTTGCCTCCTCCTCCAACTTTCTGATCTTACTTTTCAGATTCTTCTCAGGGCTTCTCCACTTTAGACCAGCTCTACGGTGCTTCTCTTTCTCCTTTCATAAAGCCACAGTCTCAGGACAAAGCCCTTACCTGAGCTCTTAACACCATTTCACTGCCCAGTTCCCCCTCTCTACTAACCACCCCCTGCCTCGCCTCCAATCTTAGCCTCCCTCCCGCCAACCCCCAACAGTCAGAATGACCTTTCTAAAGCCTGGCTCCAATTAATTTGGTCCCACTCTTTTTTTTTTGGTCTTATCTAGCAGGGTAGCCATTTCCCCTCCCCGGGGAGTCTGGTTCCATAAACACATATTAGCATGCTATGACGGTCACCTGCTGGCCCTGGGAAGTCGCTGCTTGTTGCAGTTTCCTTAAAGACAGTGGAAACATTGAAAACGCCACATTTACATGCTTCAGTTCATTCATTCACTCAACAAACATTGACTGAGCACCTGCCAGACACTATGCTGAGCCCAGAGGACCCTGCTGGGGACACATTGAACATATGCATCCATGGCCGTGCTAGAGAGTCCACAATGCCTCTTCGTGAAGGAATCTTTTCATCCCAGTGGGAAGAAAACCCACCAACTGATCACTCACGAGCTGTCTCGCCCCCTCAGCCCTCCTGTCTCCCCGGGCCTGGGCCAACTCAGCAGTGTTAGGGGCAGGTGATTCAGGACCGAAGACTGGGAGTCATGAACCTCTTTCCTGTCCTTGAAACTAGCGTAGAAAACTCACACCTCTTCAGTTACTGGCCCAATTGCACTTAATGTGGTAAGGTATGTAAAGGCCAGAGCAGTGAGCTAAATACACACACACACACACACACTGACACACACATTGACACATACACACTGATAAACATACTGACATACACACACTGACATACACATCAACACACAATAATGACACTCACACACCTTTACATACATTCCAACACACGAACATACACCAAAAATATACACCAACACATACACACAGACATACACCCACAGACACTGACACACACCAACATGGACACAAACTGACATGCACTGACACACACTCACACTGGCAGACACAAACACACACCAACAAATACAAACACATACCAATAAATACATGCCAACACACACAGACACACGCACTGGCAAACACACACTCACACTGACACATACAAATACACACCTACTCACACGTCAACACCAACACACATACCACAGAAACTCTGGAAGTCCAGGCCCCAGAAGGGGCTTGCAGCCTCAGGCAGCAGGTCTTGGAAGGACCAAAGGGCTGGAGAAGACTTAAATTTCACACTTGGTCCTAGTGTGCGAGGTGCTGCGTTCTGGCAGAGGAGGCCTCAGGGGTCCTGGGGGCGGGCGGGCCGGAGTGGGGCACACACACAGACCCGGCACCAAGGATTCCAATCTAAGGTGCCGCCTGCGCGGGGCCGATTGTCTGGAGCTTGGACAGCTGGGAGCGCTAAAGCGGGAGGGGCAGTGCGCTCTAAGTCGGGAGACCCAGGAGACCCGCAACCTGTCAGCCCCGTTCTGCTCCGCCCTGCGTGCAGTTGCAGCGCTGAACTCTGGCTTCCAAATCCACCCCCACACGAGCCCAGATCAGAGTTAGTGGCCTCGGGCCCTTTTGCCAGGGAAGATCTGTCTCCCCCAAGACACCGAGCCTGGAAGCGGCCAGTCACCTCTGACTCCCCGCCCCCATCCGCTTGGGGCCCAAGCCTTACAACGATTCCTCAAACACCGCCCTGATCACGTTTGTCACTGCCACCCCTATCCAGGGCCCTGTGCCTACCCCAGGCCTTGCCCCAGAACCCCAGCGGACCTCGCAGGCTCCAGCCACCCCTCTTCCCTGCCGCCATCATCTGCCCTGAGGGTCTGCGTCGTTGGTTACACAGAACTCCCCTGTACTGGCCCCTGATTGCTCCAGGCTCTTCTCTTTGGGCCTCTCCTGGGTCTCCAGCACGAAGACGCCCGGCACAGTGGGCACCCCTTGAATATCTGGCTATTCATGACTCTCCCTACTGATACTCCCGTCACTGTGTCTGCTCTCTTCTGTCCTTCCCCCCTCCCTCCTCCCCACACACACACTGAATCCCCTTTCCCTCTCCTCTTCAATTCCATTCAGGAAACACTCATTAATTGGGCCTAGGCACTGGGAATGCATTTTTCAGAGTCCTTGTTCGCAGGGCAGACGTGGCACATAAAGAGCTCCCTGAGAGAGTGCGGGAAGTACTGTCCTGGCCAGTGGAACCAATTGCCAGGGAAGAGCTTCACGTAGCCACCCCGTTTCTTTGCCGCCCCTCGTTCTCCTAGGCTGGAGCCTCTGGGCTCAAATCCTCTCCCTGGTTCCCACTTTTCTTCTTTCCTCCCTCGGCTTACTGCCGTCGTGGGCCTCTGCGGAGTCACCTCCCGCGCCCTATCCAGGTCCCCATCGTAGACTCAGGTAGCCCTCACGAGCCTGGGTCCTCCCACAAACCCAGGTCCCTCTCCGAAACCAGGGAGCCTGCCCCTCCTCGCTGCCCTTCTGGGGAGTGGAGTGTCCCGCCCGCTGGGGCCTTGGCGCGCCAAATCTGCCTGGTTCGCCAATCACAGGAAGCGAGCCACGGGTCATTCCTGGGAGAGACCAGAGGGCGCCGGGGCTGGAAAAGGGCCTACAAGAAAGAGGACTCGTGGTGGTGGACAAGGAGGAACAGCAACGCAGGAGGGCACAGCCCTGCCTTTGGCGGTTATCCCCTCCCCGCGCGCCCCGCCACCTCGGCACGCCACCTCGTCTGTCCGGAGCTGGCGAAGGGTTCAGAGAGAATCAGGGCGCGGGACGAAGCACCTGGCGGCCGCGCGGTCCCGCCATCCCCATCCTCCTCGCCAGCCCGGCGTCCTTCTTGCCCAGCCCTCCTCTGGACTCCCCGCGGCCCCGGCACTGGGAGGGGTAGGTCCTCAGAGCCTCGGCTCCCACGCTGAACGTGTAGAGCTGGATGGCGAAGAGGGGGCGTGGGGTCCCTCTGGATTGAAGACTCTAAGGTAGTGAGCTCTGCTCCCCTAAATTACCACCCGCAGGCCCCAAGGCTTGGATACTCCAGGTCCGAAGGAGCGTCTCGGTACTCGTGGCCTCGGGCTCCACCTGTCACAGTCCTGCCGCGCGGCCGCAGTGCAGCTCCCCCAGCTGCCCCCTTTCTCAGCTCCGCCGTGGGCAGCAGGTGCCGCAGCTACCCCTTCGGCCTCAGCGGCTCCAAGGCCGGGCAGAGGGGCGAGGAGTGAGACTCCAGCGGCGGACGCCCCATGCCAGCACCCTGAGCGCTCGGCGGGGAGGCAGAGTGAATGCGGGTGCGGGGAGGGGGGAACGGATGACTGCGGAGCTCAGCCGCCCAGCGGAGCGCAGAGGGGGCAAGGTCAGGGGCTCTCTCGCAGCCCCCGGGGTCTGGGGACTCTGGGATGTAAGGCGAGAGCAGGGGGTGTGACAATTCGCAGAGGTCGGGATGTACCACGGAGTCCAGCGGCGGGGGGGGCAGAGGACGTGGTCACCGAGGGGAGCCCCCGCTCCCCTTCGCCAAGGCCTGCGCCGGGGGCTGCAGGGAGAACCGGGACTCGGCTTTGGGAAGAGGGGCGGCACCCCCAATCCACCCCTCCTACCCCCTCCTTCTAGGGGGTGGGCGATCGAGGGAAGGCTGGGTCTGGAGCGGCGGCGTGGGGCCCCTCCCTGGCGCCTCCCTCCCTCCCCGGAGTTGGTCGCGCCCGAAGTGTAACACTTTCTCTTTGTCGGAGCAGCTCTGCTGTTTCCTGTGCGGTAGCTCCCGTTGCGGCGGCGCCGGTGGCAGCCCTGGCGGACGCAGGAGCGATGGCAGCCACCGACATAGCTCGCCAGGTGGTAAGTGCGGGGCTTGGGGGCCAGGGCAGGGGCAAGGGGCCTGGGCAGGGCCGCGGAGACCCGGCCTCCGCCACCGCCGCCGCGAGCAGGGCAGTGGGCAGCACCCAGGAGCCGAGGCCAGGCGGGACTGTTGCCGCCGGGGTCAGCGGCTCCGTCCCTCAGCCTGTCTCCGAGCCCGGTGGTGGTGGGCAGGTGGGGGGTTGGCAAGACTGCGGGCGGGCGGCGGGACTAGCATCGCGCTAGGAGCCGCAGTCGCCACCGCCGCCTCCCTCGCTGCAGCAGCGGCCCCGCTGCTGGGGCGTTGCCGAATGAATGGCCTCACGAGCCACCGAGCCCTCCAGGGCCCTGGCCCCCTGGCCTGGCTTCCTCAGACCTCTGAACCGCGCTCTTGCGCACAGCTGCCCACCCAGACCTGGGCCTCCTCCAGGAGAGGGGCACCCGGCTGGGGTTAGCCTGGGGCAGGAGGCGGTGAGTGGCGTGGGGGTCGAGGAGGTGACTGGCTGGTCTAGGGTTTCTCCATATGCATTACATATGTGACTGCGTCTGTGTGTGTGTGTGTGTGTGTGTGTGTGTGTGTGTGCGCGCGCGCGCGCGCGCGCGCGGTGTGTATGCACGCGCTCGCTCTTGTGCCTTCCCGGGAGAGCGACGGCGCCCGGGATCTTTCTGTGACCCTAGATGAGTCCGCCTATTTCTCTGAGTGTGTATTTGCGTGCTCCCCTCCATGGTGTGTGTCCGTGCTTCCGGACGCCTCTCTGCTTGTGCTGTGTGCCTCTGGGTCCCGTTTGTGTGTCGGGTGGGGTGCAGTTGGCAGGCCTGTAGGTGGCTGAGTGGGTATTTTGGCATTTTTCTGAGCACCTGATTGGGGTTTTGCGGGCCTCTGGGGGCTTGTCTCTGGTGCGTGTTCAGTGTAACTGGGCTGCTGTGCCAAAACCTGTGGAGCTGGCCTCTTTCTACGCGGACACAGGAAAATAAGTGCGACGCTAGCAAAATCAGGGAGGGCTGTCTCTCTTTATGTTGGCAACCGACTCTGGAAAAAAATCTTCATTTAAAAAACTGAAGTTTTCCAGCCTGGGATGTGCAAAGAGTTCACATTGAAGAGACCTGAGGCTGCATGTTTGTTTTTTTAGACCAGAAGTTTTGTCTAAAGGGAGGGGATGACTCCATTTGAGGGTATAGCCTTTCTATCCATGATTAACTGTTTGGGATTTTAAGAGGCGCACAATTACCAGCCCTAACGGGAGGGAGGAGAGTGAGATAGAGGTAGGTCAAATCCTGTGACACCAAATACTACTTGATGAACATCTCTGAAGCACAGAAAAAAAATTTTTAACCTTGTGGCTTGTTTCTTTAGGGAAAGGGTCCATGCAGTACAATTCCTGTGTGTGTGTATAAATATATCCATAGCCTCTAGGTATTTGATGTAATTAAAATTGATTTGCTTTCAAAACCTGAATCCATAATCTAGTAGTGTTATCTCTACCGGATATGTATGAATTCCTTCCACCCTCTTGTTCCTGTTTAGAAGGGCAGGGTCATTTCTTTGAAACCTCCCCCACCCCTAACAGCCCCCAGTACAGAGTCATGATGTGGAAGGACCAGGAGTAGGTAGGAGACAATTCTCTGTGATAATGGAATTTGAGAAAATTCTCCCCACCCTCCCTGGCCAAGATCGGCCCTGTAATACTTATTGCTTTAGTGTTTTGAGGACTCCCAGAGTGCTTTTCTGCTTCCAGTTACCTGCATTTTAGAGATGGCATAGCTTAAGTACAGGAATTAGTCTTCTAGATTACTCTTGTTCCATTCTTAGTGACCAAAAATGACACAAATGATTTTTCTTGTCAGCTAATGAATTTTCATCGATCCATCCAGACTTTCTCACCAGGTCCCTCTTGCCTGGAATAGGATTGCAAGACAGATGTTGCAAGGGGGAAGATTCCAGAAGGTTGTGTTTCACCTCAGGCACAACTCAGACAGTCTCCTTTGTTCTGCAGATGGAGGGGGCAGTTAGGGCCACTCGGTTCCACTTTGGTCTGGCTGGACTTGCCATTCTGTATGATGAAGAACATAATTGTATGCCAGATTCTAAAGCTGAAAGAGCAGCCCAAGCACTTGAGACCTTGTTATCGTGATAAGTGGGTTTCTGGGAAAACTGACGTCACTCTACATGCCCCCCTCCCCCCAACCAGTGAAGCTCTTGTTTATGTGTCGTTTGTCTCTGCTCTCCTTTGTGTCTGCATGAAGTTGTAATTCACCGGGGAAAGATGAAATTGACTCAAGAGACCTTGGATGTCTGGTTGCTGCTTGTTTCTTTTAAGGAACATGCACCCAGGGTTTGGGTAGAGAAGAGTAGAGAATAAACCTAAGTGTGCCTAGCTTAGTTCTTTTTAATGATCTCTGAGACATGGTGCTATGCATGTGAGTAGTGCCCTGGTATGTTTGTGTGTGTGGCACGGGTGCCCTTTCCAGAGTCAGCTGAGGATCACTATGGCTAGTAAGGTGATATTAGTGACTAAAACAGGACTTAGAATTGTTGAGCAGGGCCTATATTTGGGCATTGTCTTAGTTATCTAGTGCTGCTGCTATAATAGAAATACCACAAGTGGGTGGCTTTAACAAATAGAAATTTATTTCCTCACAGTATAGGAGGTTAGACTTCCGAATTTAGGGCGCTGACTCTAGGGGAAGGCTTCTTCTCTGCTGGCTCTGGAGGAAGGTCCTTGTCTCTTCTGAGCTTCTTCTGCTCCTGGGCGATCTTCATGTGGCTTGGCATCTCTCTTCCCCCATCTCTGCTCTCTGCTTGCTTGTTTAATCTCTTTTGTATCTCAAGAGATTGATTTTAAGACACATCCTACACTAATCCTATTAATTAACATAACAAAAAAAACCCACTCCCAAATGGGATTATAAACCACAGGTTTAAAAAAACCCAAAACCAAACCTGTTGCCGTGGAGTTGATTCCAAATGATAGCAACCCTATAGGACGGAGTAGAACTGCCCCACCACAGATATAGGGGTTAGGATTTACAACACATATTTTGGGGGGACACAATTCAATCCACAGCAGGCATGCGTGCAACTTGGAAGTTCAGCTCTTGAACTGAACATAATACAATCCTATTTGAATGAACACCACAAAGAATTCTGTATGACTAAGTTATTTCTACATTGTGTCCATGAGTGTTTGTTTAATTGACTGATATGTGTCCAGCACTTTGGCTAACCTTTGTCAACTCTACCAAAAAAAAAAAAAAAAAGTAGAAGACCCAGTTCCTAGCTTTCAAGCTTATGGTCTAGTTGGAGAGATAAATTGTGGACACTATGAAATAACCAGAAAACTATAGAAGATTCTTGGGAAAACCCCTTCCCCACCTCCTTCCCCGCCATGAGGTAGCTTGGGCTGCTATTAATATACACTCAGGGAGTTTACATGACTTGTTCAAGGTAAGCTAGTGAGGCACAGTGCAGGCCCAGATGCTGCATCTCCTGGCTCTTGCACTCAGCTGTTCCTTTCAGTGTTGCATTTTAGGGTACAGTCTGTAAGTGCTGGCCCACAGAAAGAAAGTCTGATTCTGGCTTTACCCAATTTCACCTGGTGAACAAAGATGCTTTCTCCAGTGGCAATCCAGGTAATGCTCTTTCTCCCTAATGAAAGAACTTGCATGGGCTAGCTTTGCCCTACAAGGAACTTTGCATGAGCAGAACTTGCAAGTGCTCCAGGTACCAGACTACAGGTGGGGAGAGGATTGCTGTTGCATTCTGGTCTTGCTAGTATATGGCAGTTACCCTCTGAGTTCCCCTTGAAGCTCCCTGATTCAGCGATCCCTATATCCCAAAGCAGGGAAAACAAAACCCCAATATTCATCCACACATCTACTGGGGATACAGCACTGGAGAGTATATGGGTGATCATTATACTATTTTCAAACTTTTCTGTGTGTTTGAAAGTTTTCAAAATAAGAAGTTGGGGAAAAATTACAATGTTTCCCAAATGCACATGGTCCCTTCCATCAAGGAGTTTACAGTCTAGTGGTGGAGGCAGACACAAATAACTATATAATTGCGATAAGTGCTGTAAAGGAGAATTACTGTCTACTATGAGAGCGCATTACAAGGGGACCTAATCCAGCAGTGGATGGGGGTAGTGGGTGTCAGGAAAGCCTTCCTGAGGGCTTCAAATAGGAAAAGGGTAGGTGTGAAGATGGGTGAGAACTCACTTCTGCTACTGGGTTGGGAACATTTCATTTGCTAATTCACCACTTTTATTTTCATTCATTCCTCCAACATATATTTATTAGGCACGGACTCTGCCAGGCCCTGTGCCAGATTCTGGGGATATTGTGGTGGCCAAGGCATGCAGGAACTCTGCCCTCTCAGACCTTCCAGATGCGAGGCAGAAATAAGCCCTGTTTCCTCTTTACATCGTAAATCCTGGAAATGTGATTGTTAGCAGTGTTATTATTACAAAACTGCATTACAGCAGAGAGATTAGTCTGTATAGTATAATGAGATTTTGATCTGCAGTCAGGTGCATGGATTTACTTTGTGAAGTCCCTGCTGTAAATTTTCTATTAATTGCTGGCTTTGTTACCCAGCACGGCCCCTCCCTTTGTGTGCTGTAAGGGAGCAAACCCGTTGCACTAGCCTGAGCAAAACTAATTAGGAAGATGAATCCTCTGGAAAAAAGTATTCCAAAACTAAATAGGACTGATTTCTGGACTTACCTGGGTTTCTGTATTATCAGAACCGTGGTTTATTGTTAGCATGAACAATTGAGATGGGCTTTTAGTTGCATGGGAGACTGTGGGTGGTGCAAATGGTTAAGCGCTGACTACTAACCTAAATGTTGGTGGTTCAAACTCACCCAGAGGTGCCTTGGAAGAAAGGCCTGGCTTCCAAAAGGTCATAGCCTTGAAAACCCTGTGGATAAATGTAACATGTTTATTTCAGTGATCTCAAAATGCTTCCAGCCGTATGATTTTATTTTCCCAAAGAGCTTCCT